TGGGGAAGCTACCGTGCGCTTACTGGCCTCCTGAGTAGAAGGCAAGTGGTAATGCCGGGCTCTGGGGAGAGGCTGGGAGGAGGGGGCCCTTCTCCTTGGCTTCCATATTGGGTTCTGCTTGGATAGAGTGGCAGCATGACAGTGAATGCCTGGCACAGCTGATGGGCAGCAGTGGCCTCTCTTGGAGACCTCTGGAACTCTGGTTGCCCTTCTTTGGCCTCCTGTTGTCCACTGCCGTATTCAAGAGGATGTGAGTGGCCAGGCTGACCCCCAGCTCTGGGAAAGCCAGTGCGCAAGTTTGAGTTTCTCTGGAAAGAGATGCCAGCCAAAAAAAAAAAACCCACTTCTCGATTTCAAGGCCAAGAAATGCACAGCAAAATGGCTGTTAATGGAAGAGGGATGCAGGAAAAAGTAACATCAGAATTAAATTGCTTAGAGAGGGAGATTTGCATCACCGTGTTGAGAAGGGCGATCATTGAAGTCTATTCTGGCGTTATCTTAGTAGGCAATGGATTTTGATCTAGTTGTGCCAGGATCTGAGTGCCTTGAAGTGTGAGCCTACAGCTAGTGAAGCCAGGTGAGTTGAGCATCTGGGGAATTTTGCTGCTCCTGCCATATCCTGACAGGGAACGATGGGGTGAAAGCTCAAGACAGGAGTGCTTAGGGGTGGTGGGGGGAGAGAAGGCCCCTCAGGCTGATCTACAGAGTGGTGGCTTATAGCAAAAGGCTGCCTTTGAGAGGCTGTGGATGCTTCAGGAATAATTTGGCAGAATAACTTCACTGCTGTCCTCTCCAGCAAACTTAAAGCAGCAAGGTTTTTTCAGGCTTATATGGATTGATATTGATTGACTGCCATTGACTGCTCTTAGTTGACCCTACAGGTAGATATTTTCTCCAGGAGGATCTGATCCCAACATAGTCTTTCAAGTCTCCTAATGGTGCCCCAATGGCCATGGTAGCTGAGCCCATCCAACCTGCTGCTAATCATCCTTTTAGGGATTCTGGGTGATGTACAATTAAACAGTAACATATAAAAAAACTATAGAAAAATTAAATTTTTAGAATTAAAGTGTTTTATTTGATATTTTTAAAAATTTGATACATGAGACCCATTTCTCTAGTAAATAGGGGAAAAAGAGGAGGAAAAGATGTTGGATATGAATTATTTGTAAAAATAATAAAGGTGGGATAAAAATGAATAAATGAACGAACTAATGAATGAAGTAGAAAACTAAAATTTCCTAGCAATCTATAAGTTAATAATTGTTTTGGAGCGAATGGGGTGGATGGGGGAAGAGGGCGTGTGAGAGAGATTGTATAGATTCAGTCTGGACAGGTCTGTCCAAGATGCCTGGGGTGCCATCTTGGGATGTAGTCTGGATTTTCAAGGCTCTTAGTTCGACCACCTGTTTGTTAAACCCAGGTCCTCCTGTTTAGTTAAGGCAGCCAGAGAGGTGAGTTATAGTCGGGTCCATGTTGTGAAGGTGACCTCTTTGTTCAGCCTTGAAGAGATGATACTGCACCTCCTCAAGAGGCTGTCTTTAGACCTAACACTTTTTAGATGACTACCATTTAGGGAAGGTTGTTGAGAAGGTAAGTCTGCAGTTGATGAGAAGTCTTCAGGAACTGGATTTAAGGCTAGAATTCAGACAGCCTTGTCACACTTATAGATGACTTGTGATGAATCTGGGTTGGAGATTGTCCATCCATGCTTGTGCTCCTTGATCTCTCCATGGTTTTTAATGCCATCTACCATGATATCCTTCTGGGTTGTCTCTGGGTACTTGGAGTTGGTGGCACAATTCTACAGTAATTCTCCTCTCTCCTTTGGGGCTAATTCCAGTCTTTCCCTAAGTTCTACCTTTGAAATGATACCATAGAACTCTGTCTCCTCTTTCTTCTTGTTCCAACAGTGGGTGAAACCAGTGGGTGAGGTCCTGCTCAGCAGGTTCAGCTTTAGTCTAAGCTCAGTAGGCACTGGTCCAGGGCTCCAAAGCTGAGGCTATGCCAAAGTTGCCTCTTATTCCAAATACTTCTAAAAATGCAAATCTTCTCATTGGCAGGAGATGGCAGCATCAGTTAATGGGGCCTAGTAGCACCATATACCCTTGAGATAGCACTAATGCATGTGTTTAAGGTTTGGTATTATTAGTATGCTGATGATCCCCCAATGACTATACAGTATATCTGTGAGGTTGCTGAGGTTTTATCCCAGTGCCTAGAGGTTGTGTAGGGTTTGAAGGGGAGGACTCAACCCTCCCAAGACCCAGTGGCCATAAATGGATAGAGATGCATGTCCCCCCTGAGTAGTGATGAGCAACCTTGGAGGGTTCCTGCTCAATGAGCAGGCAGCAGTTGTGGCCAGGAAGCCCTCTGTGGGGGCCAGTTGTGCCCTTTCTTGGATCAGGAGGTTCTTCAGATAGTCATTCATGTCCTGGTTGCCTCACAGCTTGACTCTTGCCATACACTATATATGGTGCTGCCCTCGAAGACCACTTGAGAACTTCAGCTGGTGCAGAATGCAGCATCGCAAGCATTAATGGGCACTTGGCAATGGCACTTTTACTTTGGGACTTGCAATGTTTGCCAGTTGGTTTCCAGGTATGGTTCCTGGTTAAGACATCCTACATGCATAAGTCCCAGGCATTTGGGGGCCAGCCTGCTTCCATAGAGACTGCTCAGCTGATACATGCTGACAGGGCAATGCCCTCTGGGCTCCTTTGATTAAACAGAGTCATCAATTGTGGCCTGGAAGCAGGCTTTCTTTGTCAGGGCACCTGCCCTTTGGAGTGCAGTTCCCCCCTAAGGTCCAGGTGGTTGCCAGTGCCCTAGAGGGCTGAAGAGGGCTGTTCTCCCAGGCCTGGGCTAAGGTGGCTGGAGCAACCTCTGCATGTTGGTGGCCTATGTTCTGTGTGGTCTGCTCAATTCACCTCCATCTTGTTCTTTTCTTTCTTTTCTGGTCAAATTCTTTGGCTGTATAGTTTTGTTTTTATTGCACTGTTTTTCATTCGGTTGATCATACTAACCGAATGATTCTAACCCAGTCAGAATCTCTGGACTGGGCAGTGCCAAGTCAAATTGAACAAACAGACAGACAAGGATTTCCAATTGTAAATCCAGTCATGATTTGGGCATGAAGTGAGGGTGACATGACTGATAAAAAAAAGAGATTCCCAGGCATATTCAGGACATGGCTGAGTACAAATGGGGCAGCTATCTAATTCAGTAGATCCCAACCTTTTGGATGCCAGGGACCGGTTCCGTGGAGAAAGGAACTGGGACCAGAGGGAGCCTGGTTTCACATGCTGTCTGCATCCCTCGGATGGAGCCTTGCTTGTTTGTGCAGCCTGGGTTCTGGCATGCCGTAGACTGGTGCTGGTCCATGGACCAGAGGTTGGGAACCCTTGCTGTCCTTAGTCCCCCCCCTTTGCCCTATTCTGCTTCCTTGTGTTTTTCTTTGTATTTTTGTATAAATACAGTTATGCTTTCACACAGGAGTCATTTGTTTTTTGTCAGCTACAATTTCAAGTCCTGTTAAGTCCTATGACTAAGCTAGGTATCTTCCAGCTGCCATCTGATTTCTTTTCCTAAAGGATGAAAGAGTAGAAGGCCCAAGACTGGATCTGGTAAGACCTTACTAGATACTCTGCAGCTGAGTGATGATGATATTATCCATTCAGTTGAATCCAACTCTTGGTGATTCTCTGGCCGGGTTTCTCCATATCTTCCGATCTTGCACTATTTCTTTGAGTTTTTCTATGCTTTGGCCGGTGTCAGCCTTCATGGTATCCAGCTACCATATTTTTTGATTGCCTAGCTTCCTTTTACTGCTAACTCTTCTAAGCATAATTGCTTTCTCCAGTGATCCAGCCCAGTACAATTTTCAAACCAAATCAGCATTTATTTAATTGCCATGTCAGCCAGCTCATCCTTCAACTAGCTTACTAATCAGAATGTTATGTTCTTTGTCAAGTGGTTTGATAAAAATCAAGATATGATATTCTAAGGAAGTTACCAGATTGAACAGTCAGATAATGTTAGTTTGGCAAGTCTTGTTTTTCATAAATGTGTGCTCATTTCTGGTAATTACTGCATGGCTTTAAAGCTTCTTAAGGTCCAAGCCTCCATGATCTGCTGTACAACATTGCCAAGTACTAACTCAAACTGAGTGGCCTGGTAATTTGTGGGTTTTCCCTGTCCCACTTTTGAAAGTCGGAACCACATTTTCTTTTCTCCAGCCACCTGGCAGTTTTGCTGTGATTCATGTCTTATCAAATGGGAATAATGCATAAACATTCCTCCATTCCATCAACTAATTCCTCCCCTGTTACAATTCCAACTGGTTTTGGAAATTTAAACTTAATTAAAGTACATAAGAATTATTGGATTATGGTTGTATCTAAGACTTGAATCCGGACCCTTCATCTCTCTTTTCAAAATCTTGCATATTTGTTCACATCAAAGAACTATTGATGCGTTCTTTGATCTCTGTTAAGATTAATGTTATTTACAAAGTAATAAGGCTTACTCTCCACCTCAATCTATTCTTCCAGAAGACTCTCCAACTTACTTCGTTTGAGCAGAACAGAATAAAATAAAGGTTAGAAGGGACCATGCAAGTCTTTTAGCCCAGGGGTCCCCAACCCCCAGTCCGTGGACCAGCACCAGGCTGTGGCATGCCAAAAACTGGGCCGTACAAACAAGCAAAGCCACATCCGTGAGATGTGGGCAGCATGCGAAACCATGCCCCCTTCGGTCCGTGGAAAAACCTCTCTCCATGGAACCGGTCCCTGGTGCCCCAAAGGTTGGGGGCCACTGTTTTAGCCCATCCCCTGCTTAAGCAGGAGACCCTTGACCTTTTTTTCACCATGAACCCCTTTAAATACTTTGGTGCCCATAGACCATGGCCGTGGACCACCAAGACTTAACTCAAGATTTAAATTATAACATTTCTTCAAGCCTTCGCGGACCCTCTATGACCACATTGCGACCCCCCCCAGTACTTCACGAACTATAGTTGAGAACCACTGTCCCAGGCCATTTCAGACAAATGGATGTCCAGCCTCTTCTTAAAAACCTCCAGTGATGGAGCACCAACAACCTCTGGAGGCAAGGTGTTCCATTGGTTAATTGTTCTCACTTTCAATTCTCCCACTTAGCAACTATGGTATACTAACCCCAAAGCAATTCTAAAGCCTCCACATTGACTGTCATATCTTACCCATTTCTCTCTGAAACCCATGGCTATGCCTCTGACTTCAGTTCTGTAGGTTCATTAATATCGTCCCTAACTTGGAGGTTTTCTAGTCCAGCCCTCCATCCTCCACCCACCCATGGCAGGGATTCTCTAGTGACAGAGTACCACAACTCCAGGAAGCTTAGGTCTGCTTTAACTTAAGTATATGATGCTTAAGTTGTCGATCTTGGCACAACAGCTTCAGATGATGTATTACCAAATTATATGACATTTAACAGTGACTAAAATGTACATTGGTTCCAACTACAATAGTAAATTATCCCATATGCAAATGCATCAGTTGCAGCAAGGTTTCCATTGCCCCTTAGGAAAGATCAACCATCATTCTAGTCTCACTTAGATTTTCTCTTGAAGACAAACTCATTCCAAGTCAGCCCCACTATACAACTTCCCCTACAGCATCTTTTACTCTTCCAGAGTTCCCATCAAACAACTCATGCAGGCATGTCTCTCAATCTGGGTGGCTGGCCACAGTGCTCCAGCAAAGATGCTTCTACATCTTACAACTGAATGTAAATGAATTCTTGACAGCATGAAAAGCCCTCAAAATGGCTGAGGTACACTTTCTGATGCAATTATTCAAGACCACAGTCCTCTTTTATCTGAACAAGTCAGGGGACGTAAAATCCCAGATCTGTCTATTTCTTACCATGATTCAACTTACTGAAATAGACGTTATATTAGTGAATCATCTCAGCTGAACATCTGTGATCGTACATGAGACACAACTGGACAAAGGGCCTGCTTTCCCAGCCCTGGAAACAAGTAATATTTGTTTGCCACCGGAGAGGGCTCAGCTTGCATTCAGTGCTGCTCTAAAAAGGAGCAGCCTCTCTTGGGGAGGGTTTCCTGCATCTGCGGTTACTGCCACTGATTCCTGGGCTGGACAGAGTAATTCCCCAAACCCAACAAGATGAGGCAATCCCCATCCCGATAACTCCATAGTGGCCACACCAACCCATCATTTTCTCTGTTCCAGGGGGCTCAGAATTACCCAGCATGCTTGCTGCTCCATTCCCCCCTCTGATCTCTCACAGCATTCCCTGCCTCTCACGGCTTGGAGGATTCAAGGGTTTCAGTGAGGATATGGCCGAAATTCTAAGAACAACTAACTTTCCATTTATCCCCTGGGAAGATTGCAGTGCCAAATGCAGGCTTTCCACAGCAAAGGCTCCGTCCATCTACAGAGAGGGGCTGCTGGTCACTGTAAGTTTTCAACTCTCCTGGCCGGCCATTCACAAGGGTCAAAGAACTGACCTACTGAAGTTTCTTCCCAGCAATCACAGTATTTCACATTCCGATTGCCAAAAGTCAGTGTTTTCTCAGCCTTTATAACCCCATTTTTAAGACTGCAAAATCAGTCTCCCTCTTAGATACAAATGGTCCTCACTTAGCGCCAACAATTGGGACCAGAAGCTCTGTTGCTAAGCGCCACAGAGCCTAAGCGAATCATGTGAGCATGACACGCAATATAGTTTCCTATTCAGTCATTAAGCAAGTCACTGCAGGTCATTAAGTGAATTGAACTCTTTCCTTCATGGGAAGGAACCATATCTGTTTTCTCCCATCTCCTGGGACCTCACCAATCCTCCAGGAGTTCTTAAAGATAACCAAAAGCTCACCTTTGCTTGTTTTTTTTAGTATCCAACCAGTCTAGGGGAGTTAGCTAACTGCCCTTTACCCTCTCCTTGTCCAACCAACACCTGCCACATCCTCCTTCCACTAGTGGGACAACCACGGAGAGCAGGAGTTTCACTTCCTTCCTAAGAAATGTAAACTATGAGTTGAATTTTCCACCTTTTCACTCTTATAAGTTTTTTACCCCTTTCCATTTCACCTTTCTCTTCATAACAGCCTCTTTGCCTTTTCTTTCATGTCTGGTAGATGCCAAAATTCCATTTTATTTTCTCCTTGGTTTGAACAGCTCATTCTGTGCAGGAGCCTTTTTGATAATCCCTGGAGTTTCTGACTGCTGCCTTGGATCCTCCTCTCCTTGGACATTTGTATATATATCCTTTTCCTTTTCAGTATGCAGCTAGTCCTGTGTGTGTCACACTAGCCTCCCACTTAGAACATGGCAGTTGCTCCTTCAATATTTCATTTCCCATTTTTCTTGGACATCTTTTTTCTCTTTCAGTATTTTAAACCATTGGATCTGACATTTCTTCATTAAAGTTGATCAAATCTGTTGTTCTGAAATCCAATATTCAAGACTGTTCCTTTTTTCCTTGTTATCACGAGTTCAAGGATGTTTTCCTAATATTTGAATTACATTCAATCAATTTGGCTCTTTTTAAAGATTAGAGCAGGTATTCTTGTTTCCTTTCCCACCTTCTGACCCATGAAAATGTCCACAAGAGAGGAGAGAAATTGGCTAGACTTCTCTCTTAGCAGATTCCCAGGTGATGTAATGGCAACTGAAATAATCCACGATCATTACTGTAATACTGCTGGGTCCTCACCATCATCTTGTTCGGCAGCCTGGGGCTCAAGGGGAACTCAGGAGTATCCTACAAGATGGACAGGTCAAGCCCGAGCAGGCAAGGTGGGAAATTTAGTCACAACAAAATCAAGGCATTCTCTCCAATGAACAGAACAGAATACTTTATTTGGCCAAGTGTGATTAGACACACAAGGAATTTGTCTCCCGTGCATAAGTTCTGTGTACATGCAAAACAACAAAGTAATAATAATCGTAATAATGATACCAATAAGAGAAGAAAGTGGAACATATGAGGGGGATAATAATAACAGACATACTACATGAGTAAATATACTTAGACATAAGATAGTATTGTGGGAATTAGATGTTCAACAAGATAACTGTCAAGGTTCCAACTGATGGAACCAAATGAATCAGAACTCCAAGGCATGAGATTTCCTTAAAGAACATGTTTATTGGGTACATAATGTTAGCACGGTCAAATGTGAAACCAAATCTAAATCATCCCCCAAAAGGTTCAGAGTAATTCATTGTAATAGTTCCCTCCCTTCTATTTAGCTATAAATCACATTCTCCAATAGAACTACTTGGCAAGCATTCTAACAAAACGTCCTTCCTTCTCCACCATGGTGTGGGAATGACCTTGGTTCTCACGGGATCCATTCATGTTTAGACTAGCAGAAATACCTCATCCCCCCTCCTTTTCTTGTGGCAACCTAGAATGACAAAGATGGCTGCAGACAGGTTTGTTTGTTATAGACAATAACAAGCAAAAAGAAGATTATGGAAAATTCCAAATAGTCCTGGATGAAATTCTATCCACTTAGGACAGAAGGATTTGGTTCTATCAATACTGTAAAACCATGTGAAATTCTACATAGGTGGCCAGGATCAGTAATGTGCTGTATTTACTTTGTCTGATTTTGAGGCCTTGGGCTTCCTCTAGGTTGATGGGAAAATTCTTGCAAGCTTAGTTCTCTGCTTTGAGTTGGAAAATAGCTCTTTCCCTGAAATACAAGGGCCTCTGCTGACCATTGAGAGGCCTGCATGTGGGGGCCCATAAGGCTCACGCCCTGCCTCCTGACTTGCCACCATGACTAACCTTTAACGTTTTTTGTCCAAGACGCAGAAGAAGCCAGTGAACCAGTGCTAATAGGAGGAAGAAAAGGATGCGGCTGGGCCAGATGGCTGTGTTGTTGCTTCTCCTTCAGCACAGTAAGTTGCTTTTGTAATCTGTCTCTACATTTTGAGGGCATGTTCTAGCAACACACTTGTGTTATCCAGAGTGACCTACAGCTACAAACACCTGCCTAGACAACTCCCATTGCCCAAGGAGTCTGGGATACCCAGTTTCATTTATCAGAGCCGCAGGGTTCTCCCTTGCAGCTGAGCACAAATTGAAAACCCAGAGCCACACTTCAGGGTAACACCTTATATCCAGGATCCAAGTCTATGTTTGGGGAGGAAGTCTGGATTTCTCCCCCCATCTCTACAGCTGTCCAAAATGTTTTTGTCTGACCTGCTCCAAAACCAGGTTTAATGCACATCAATTACTGTTGATGAGTTTGATCACAGTGGCATTGCAAGTGGGCAAGTGTTCTTCCATATGATACTAGGAATGACTCTTGTGTGTGATGGCAACCATCACAAAGGAAGCCTTGCCTTGGGAAGCAGCTTGGTTGCCGTGGGACTCCTCAGAGCTAACCAGAGAGATGCTGTCCTGGCCGCCCCGTGCACCAGCAGCAGCAAAGGTGAACCGAGGGTTGGGCTTACCGGGCCAAAGGTCTAGCTCTATCCAAACAACCAGCAGCCCCGCATTTTGCTTTTCGGGGTCCAGCCGCTTCCTTCCACTGCCAAAAGCATCCTGACTGCATAGCACAGGGCCCAGCAGAGGACTTGCGTGCTGAGGTATCTGCAATGCAACAGGTGGGGAAAAGCTCTTCCTCCGGTGCCCTACAATGGGTGGACAGATGCACAATTTTGTGTACTCACAAGCAAATCCCCTGCAGGTTACAACACCAATCACTAAGGCACTTCAAAATACCCCCTGCATGTGTGTACTAGAAACATGATATTTGTATCTTTGCTGGTTTGTGTATCTTTGTCTCTTCTCCATTCTGCTGCTCCCCTGTGCAATTTTCAAATCAAAAGCCTGGTGCAGTCCAGAGGGAAAGCCAAAGGAAATTGTGAGGGGAAAGTTTCTGAAATGATAGGGACCAGAAAGGCCATTTGTTAGTATGATTGTTTATTAGTTTAATTATTTTAATCAGCACTTCACCAATGCTATGCAGATGTTTTAATACTACACTAGTGGTGTGTTTCAGTTGTAATTTAAGTCTGATTAAAACATAAAGCTGGCGCTACTGTGTAATTGTGGCAGACGCCATGCCCCCGTTTGCCCAAAGGGACAGAAGGACATGGCAAACAATCCCCCCCTCCAGATGTGCAAATGGAAAAAGAGGGAAGCCTGACGCTCTTTTCTGCCTTTTCTCCACCTCACCTGCAACCTTGCTGGAGATTGTTGGCCAAATCTGACTCTAGGTTCTGACTCAGCTCACCTTCCTCAATAATCAACCGAGTCAGAAGATCATTTAAAAGAAATTATTAGAGTATTCTGTTAAAGTGGGATCTCCCTATGAAAAGGGGAACTGGGAAAAATGGATTACATTCATTTTTGTAGTTAGCACAACAAAGGACTTCAAAGCAGAAGCTGATTGGTTTAGAAAGAGTCATCTGTCCAATTACATCACAAGAATTAAACATCCAATAATATGTGAGAATAGCCATTTACTTGTATTCTGAATACAAGTAAAAGAAACACTTGGAAAGGAAAAGATCAAAATGGGTACAGTACATTCTCAGCACCTCCCATGTTCATGGAGGTGAGGACAGCTGCAAATGAAACTGCCACCCACAATGTGCTCAATGCTCTCCGGCCAGTCCTGCTTTCTGAAAGGGAGGCTTTGACTTGAAGGTTCAGGCTTATGGCAAACTATTCACAATACAAATTTAAAATACAAGAAAACCCAAGTTAGTTAGCTAATGCAATAGTACTACAAAAACCATGTCTCAAGTATTACAAAGTCCATCCTCTGTGGCCCTCAGGATGCTACTTTTTCATTGCTGGAATCAGAGGGCCACCACCCAGCTCCCTGATTCTGAACAAAAAGGGCTTCCAGGACAGAGCAGGAGACCCACCTGCTGCTGAGTGGGGGGGGGCTCAGAGATGGGAGGGGGGGTCAGACTGAGCCTTCTTGGCCTTTGGGAGACCTGGGGCACCGCAACTAACATGACAGCATCTTGCTTCTGCACAGCTTCTGCGTGCCAGGAGCTCACTTGCTTCGCGGACTACATCCAGAGGCTGGAATGCACGTGGGGAAGCAGTCTCAGCCCAGCTCACAGGGCCCTCTACAACCTCACTGCAAACTGGTAGGTATGAGGAGGAGGTGCTGCATCCCCCCAGCCCCTCCCCCCCCCCCCCCGGTGCCCCAGGCTTCTCTGTCCATCCAGAGAAGGAGCAGGAGCCTCGGCTGCAGCCTCTTCCCAGTCGGGCTCTGCCAGCTTGGACAGCCACCCTGCCTGCCTCACCAACTCCCGGCTCAGTGGAGGGGGGGGGGTGAAGCTGCTCTCCTGTTGCAAGGGAGGCTTTTTAAAGGGGAGGTTGGGGGGGTTGCAATCAAGTGCTTCTGCCAGCAGAGAAGAAATCCCAGAAAGCCTCCTGGGAGGGATCAGGCATTTCACTCCCCGTTCTCCTTCTGCATCCCCTCCACGGACCCTGGGAAGCGACCTCTTTGCGGGACCTCCTGAGATGCTTGCTTTCCCCAGGGACTGTGGAGATGGCGGGAGCTGCTCCTTCGGCCTTACCGCCAGCAACGCCACCCACGCGCACTATGCCTGCTTCTCAGAGCAGAAGCTGTGCTTTGCCACCAACGTCTTTGAGGTCAGCATCGCCACCACTCTTGTGCAGGACCCTTCAGGGCTGCCCCAAGCCTGCAATAAGACGTTCCAGTTCCAGAATCACAGTGAGTACAACCAAAGACCTGTGCTAGAACTCCCGGGCAGGCACGAGATTCAGCAGCTGGTCGCAGCTGGACAAAGAGACCCCAAGGGGCATCGTCCAGTACTGCTTTCCTTGGGATACTTTTTTTTCTCCATGATGCCTTCCTCCCCAGAGCCTCAGGGAACCTCCAGCTGCTCTTTGCTTTCCCTGGATTTCCTTCCCCTGGGAAGGAGGGAGGGAGGGAGGGACACAGGACTTGGTGGCATTTGCAGTGAACCAGCTGACCACTGATGCTCAAGGCCACGCATAGGTTTTCTACACAACACATGCAGAGACAAGGCTGTAAAGAGCAAGAAGAGACCAGAAAACAAACTCTTCTTTAATGTGTCCCTAAAAAGCAGCTTCAGCAACTGCCTAAGAAGAAATGCTGAAGCAACATTTGTCTCTTGTTGCTCCAGAACAAAGCAAACCAAGGACTTGGGAGCTTTTTGAAGAGAAAACTAAACCGAGGGTTAACCCTTCAATTCTCTGGGCCACCTTAATTCTGTCCACTTGTGTGTGGCGGGGGGGGGGCTGCCTCCATCTGTAAGGTATCCCAGTCTGGCTCCTTCCCTTCCCAGTTAAGCCATATCCGCCAATCCACCTGGCTGCAGTTGCATCCTCTACCGGCTACAACATTTCTTGGGAGACCAGATACCTGGATCAAGAGTACCACTCCCTAAACGGCAACCTGCAATATGAGTTGCAGTACAAGAAGAAAGGTCACCCTTGGCAGGTGAGGAGGCAGAGCGGAAAGGGGGGGAACTCAAGGGATGGGGGTTTGAGGGGTCATCCGAAGGCATCAGCACGGAGGAGTGGCCCAAGGACAGGCCAATCGACCCAGAGAAGCCTAGGGCTGACCTGCCCTCCTCACAAGGGAGCAGGTCAGCTTTGGGTTTCCACGACAAGCCGATGCCCCCAGCCAAGCAGGGAGGGGGCAAAGGCAGCCTTCCCTCCCACTTGCCCTCCCCTTTTATTGAGGAAAACCTGGAAAAGCAGAAAACCTTTGTTTAAAGATGAGGCTCACATTATTTTATGTGTGTAACTGAGACATACTAGGAAAATTAGTGTTTGGAAAAGACTGATGACCTTTGTAATTGCCCCTCCTTTTCTCCTTTCTTCAACCAACACTCCCACTTTTTAAAAATGCAAATAAATCTCACTTAAGAAAGTAAGCCTGCCTAGTCTGCAAGGCTGGGAGAAGGGCTTTGGGCTTCCTGTCAAAAGCAGCTTTTTAAAAACCGGGTTTCCTCCAACCATGGCTCTCCCCTGGCATGATGCAAAAGGAAATGCCGCCTTCTTGGGGTCCCAGTTGGGATCAATGCCCTGTCGCCATTCTGGCAAATAAAACAGAGCGGGGACTGAGATTCAAGAACAAGGCTGAGTATTTCTGCTCCCCCCCCCCCCAGCAAGCCATCACCTTATGGTAGCTCAGGAGGAGCCATCTTGGCTGGCATCTTCCTAACCACCTTGGCAGAGTGGATGGAGACTAGTTTGGGGGGGGCTGCTTTGAAAACAACCCAAGAAATACTCTCCTAATCAAAGTCAGGGTTATCCAGAGCATCTCCTTGGGCAATTTTTGGCATGGTTGGGTATCCACCACCACTCCCCCCCCCCCACATGGAAAGGGAAATTCCCCCAGAGACTGTTTTCCAAGGACAATTCTGGGCTATTCACTGGCTTGCTGGAAGAGACGGGCAACTGCCAGTCTGCAGTCTCTTAGGGGCCTCAGAACAGACAGCTGGGATAGAGATGCGCCCCCCCCCAAGGACTCCTTCCTTTCCCCCTGTGCAGGGGCAGAGCCAGAAATCCCTCCTGCAAGACCTACACAGCTTTCAGCTTCTGCCCCAGGAGTTGGAGCAGAACACCGAATACGAGTTCCAGGTGCGGTCAAAGCCGGCCTCTTCTTACCAGGGAACATGGAGTGACTGGAGCCCCCTCGCCTCCCTCAAGACCACACACAAGGGTGAGCCCCCACACCCTCCTCTGCCTTCCCCGCTACCACTCCACAGCCAGGAGGGGGGTGGGGACTGGCAGTCCAGGCACGCCCTCCTGACCCCCAGTACCTTCTCTGGGCTTTTTTGCGAGCAAGGGCAGCCTGGCTTCTCCTGAGTTACCCAGTTATCTTCACAGTCCTGGGAACCCAGTTTATGAAGAGTGAAGGGCCTGCCCCACAACTACATCCTGCCCCCCAACCCGGCTTCCGGGGCCTTCCAGCTGATCAAGATTGGGTGACCAAACTGACTCTTTCCTTTCCTTCTTTAGTCTCAGAGCACGGCAGAGTCCAATGGCTGGAGGTGGTCTTGCTGGTGATCAGCTCCATTGCTGCCCTCATGGCCTTCCTGGGGTGGCACCAGAGGTGAGTGACATTGCCAGGGAAGCCAGACACAGGAGGCATCTTGGCCGGGCCACGAAGCTGCAAGCTCTTCCACACCTCCTTCCACTGCAGGATTCCCCCCCCCCCAAAATGTGTGTGTTTCATCTAGTACCATCCAAGCCAGCATCAGCAGTGTGAGCTGGTGTGCTTTGCTTCTGTGAGCATCTCAAGGGGACAATGGCAGAGGCCAGGACCAGAGAATCATCAGGAGTATCCCAGAGCACAGATAAGCTCCTTGTTGTCCCAGGTTGAATGACTAGCCATTGGGTGGGGCAAAGACCCCCAGTTCAAGACTCCTTCTGGGTTGGGGGACTTGAGAAACAAAAGTTGCTACACAACTCAGGGATGTGACTCCTGCTTAGCACTTGCCCATAAGCAGGTGGGACAACATCTGGTGACTGGCCTGTCTTTCCCCTTGCAGGTTGTGGAAGAAGCTGGACTGTTTCACCCCCAGCCCAGCCCCCTTCTTCCAGCCCCTCTACCTGAGCCATAATGGAGATTTCAAGGTAAGATCCGGCTCCTTGCCAGTTACTAATCAAAGTAATTTGCAGGGAGGGGAGGTCTCAACGCTCCAATTTGGCACATTCAACAAAAGAAACTCCCGGCTCTTTAGAACTACCAAGAGTAAAGCTTTATTGAAAGATCCATCTAGGCACAACAGAAGCAAAGTCATTTCTGGGATTTTCCCCTGAAAACTCCCATAGATAAAACCCCTTTTCCCCCTCCGAGCCACCCATAGTTCATAATTCACCCACTGAATTCCGTGCTTTTGTTGTGGGAAAGCAGTTCTGCCCCACACAACATGTCTCATAACTTGACCTTAGTGGATAACATTTCACTGGCAACAGCAGGCACTCATGCTTTCCATAGCCTCCCCCCTCCCTAGGAATTCACCCCCCCCCTTTTTCTGTTTGGCAAAATGTGAGCTGGAATCAGGTGTAGCCAATGTTGAAGCCGAGTCGGTTTTTACAGGAGGACTGCAGTTGCAAGGGGTGCCTGGAGCACCCGCGGCTTCTGGCATCACAGCAGGGGCTCCCTGTGGCAAGGAGGGCAGACTGTGGGCAGCTCATGTGGCAACTCAGAGTGGGCAAGGGAAGAGCACAGGTTGGCTTCTCTCCCCCTTCCTGCACCAGCCTATCCTGGCAGCCTGTCTTACTCTGCCACACCATGGTTTCCTCCATCACCCTCCTGCGGGCAGAGGAAAGCCTAAGCAGGCAGCCCTCTTGGCTGAAAAAGGGAAGCCATTTCCTGCCCAAAGACAGCTTCCCCCCCCCCGCCGTGTGAGCAGCCAGCTAAATCCCAGCAAAAGGTGCACTCAGTTCTCATCCTCTTCCCCTACATCACACATTGCAGTCACTACCAACTCCCAATTGCCTGCACAATGTACAGGTGCTCCTCTGTCCCACATAAGCAAACTAAACATGTGTAACATATATAAACAGTTGAGAGGTCTCTGCCTTCTTTGCTAGGGAATACTTGACACCAACACAAGTCTTCTACAGCTAGCAAACTGAGTCAATAACATAACCTTATATCTCATTGAGCTGCAATCTGCAACCTCGGTTTGAACAGAAAACAGTCTGGACCACCCTTCCTGGATGCCCTGCTCTTGAGAACTGAGGGATAAAGGAGCAGGAGGGAGGGGAATGGCTCAGGCCTAGGAAAGGCTGGGGGAATTTTAGGCTGTTCCGGGATCCCTTTAATACCAGGGCTACCTTCAGTGGCCTTTCAAGATTCTTCTTCTCAAGAGGCCCACCTAGGCATGAGCTGAACATGACCCCACCTTTCTGTGCTGCCCCTCTCACTCACATACTCACATAACTGTGGTTTAGTGAGTTTATAGTATTCCCCATCAATTCCAAAACTCAATTCATCAATTCACCAAAACTGTCCTCAGAACTGTCCTAATTAAGCCCAGCCATGAGCAGGCCAAGATTAGTCCACAAAGCAATGGCTCAATAGTCCCCAAAGCAATTGAAAGTTGCTCAAATAAAGTAGCTCCACTAGACAAACTTAAATCCACACACGAGAGCTCGCCAGGCAAGAAAAGTCCAGAGTCTCCAAATCAATTCCAAACATGGTGTCAATTCAGAGTGAAGCAGGGGACATGATGGCCAAAACCACACAGCTAGAAAACAAACATGTTGTTCCCAGAAGTGCCTCCATCTGCCTGCTGTGATAAATAGCCAGCTTTCTGGTGCAGCCCATCAAGATGGATGGGGCCCTCTCCTCTCGAGTAGTCTGGCTGACCACTGCTCCTGCCTTTTCTCTGCCCTATCTGTTCTCAGATCAGATGGAGAAGGCAGTTCCTCCTCCTCTTTGCTGGCCCTCTACCACTACAAGCTTTCCCCAGCTGAAGCCTCCTCTAAATCTCTTCTGGATGGCCATTGAGAGCCATCAATCAATTCAGCTCCTGACATGCCAGGAATGGGATCATCCTCCACTGAGCTGACATCTGAGGAGGAGTCTGGGGAGTCGTCCAAGAGAGACATCACACTTTCCCAACTCTGCTCCCTCAGCATATCCTCCCATCTCATGGGGGGGGGTGGTGTTTATGATAAGTCACTATGGCCAACTCGCCACAGCCAACTTGCCACAGTTAACTTGCTGCAGGACCACTCACCATGGCCAACTCGCTGTGTGACAAGAGTTTCATTAATACTGAAGAAATAGTGGAATCGAATCTTTAAAGAAAGGATAGCAACGGAGGGACAAAATAAAATGTGAATGACAAAAATTAAAATATTTTTAAACATATTTTAAATAATTAAATTGAATTGTTGAATTGTCCCACAACAAGTGGTCCCATGGCAAGTTGGCTGTGGCAAGTTAACCCATTCCGCTCATCGAGAGGGGTTGAGGAGAATAGGCAATGTCCATGGGCATTGTTTGGACTAAGGCCTTCCAGTGGACCTCCTCTGAGATTGAGCTATTGCTTCCCCACTCCTCTTTATCTTCTTGTTTTTTGCTGGTGTTGTATTGGAATGTGAACCCTGTCACCCACAATCTTCCCCACCCACAACTGCCCTAGCTCAGTGCAGGAATCCAAATTCGACTATTCCCAATAGAAGGCTGAATTGCATCCCCTATTGGAGATTATACATTGCGGGGTTCCATGCAGTTGATAGACATGCTGCACAAAAGCTTGGCCAGTGCACATGCCAGGGGAATTTTTTGGGCATGGGACAAAGTGTACCGGCTTGGAAAACAAATCAGTTATAACCATATTTCTTGAGTTTTCTAGGAGAGGAGTTGGGATTGAGAAACTGAAGGAATTGCTTTATGTTTTGTGCGGTACCTTCAGATTCTGCCTAATGTCAGACCTACCCCAGCCGGTCCCTCAGGAAAGCAAGACTCTTGAATCCATTGAGTTGAATCAAAAGAACTTTTACTGAGAGAAACTGGATGCAGTAAAATCAGGCAGAATCTGAAGGTCCCACGCAAAGCGTAAGGCAATTCTTTCAATTTCCCAATCCCAACTCCCCAGACCTGTCCACCAGCGGCCAATGTGATGCTGAGAAGATGTTTTGAGAACACTGAGGTGCTACAGGTAATAGATCACCCCCCCCCCCCAGGGTGTGACGGTCTTGGAACCTGGCAAAAACTGGCTGTGAAGGAGTCCCCTTCCTAAGTTCCAAGTGAATATCAGAAACAGAAAAATCACAAGTATGCCATCCCCTCTCAGCACCATGGCAGGACACAAGAGTATGATGGTGGACTGACAACAAAGTTATCTTGGCAGGTGGTTTGTGCCAGCAGCAATATTCTCTGGAGCAACTAACCACCTACCTTCTTCCTCTAGATGTTGAACTACATGCATTTCTCTTTTTCTCTCCACAGAAATGGGTGGGTGCCCCTTGCTCTGGAACAACCCTAGATGCCTTTGAGTGGGGCATAATTGTGCCAGAGATATTTGGGATTGGACACAAGCATCTTCTTCTGAGTTGTGCTGAGGGAGACTGGAAGGATGGCCAGAATGGGCAGCCTCCAATGTCTGCCCCGCTCCTGCCAGAACTCTTGCAGGCTTCTGCCAAAGACTGCAGTGCCACATGGGAGCAGGGCTATGGCCACCTCTCCATTGACACAGTCATGGTGGCAGAGGAACTTGCAACCCACTGCTCCCAGTGCAGCAGCACCCACCCATGCTGGGCCCTGGAGGAGCTCCAGAAGGAGACGGAAACAAGCGAGAAGGAGACCTACCATGGCCTGCAGTTTGACAGCAGCAGCTCTGGCCTGGGCTCTGGGTGCTTGCTGCTGGGGAACAAGATGCCCCTGCAGGACTCCTTTCCCTCTGGGCCGGCCTCCTGGGCAAGCCAACCCCCCTTTGGCTCTCCCCCAGGAGGCCTGGAGGGATTCTTTGGCCTGCTGCCTGCCCCCTCGCTCCTTGGCCCCTGCCTCTCTGCCCCAGCCACAGAGGAAGGCCCCTTCTGCAGGGGACCCCCGTCTCCCGACTGGGATATGGAAAGTGATCCAGTCAACGGCCTGGATCTGGACACCATGGACAGTGGCTTTGCAGACTGCGACTGCAGGAACCCTGACGATGGAGAGCTGGCAGCAATGCCGGCAGGTTGCAGTTGCCAGTCTGAGCCTGGCCCTGTTGTGGGGGAACCCGAAAAAGAGGACTTTCTTCTGCCAAGATATGTCAAGCAGTGGGTGTAGCCCCATGGCACTGAGGGACTCAGGCTGGCTGGGCAGGATCTGGCCCAAGCAGGATCTGGCCCAAGCGCATCCCACACGCCTCTGACAGTCCTTGCAGGATTGCTGCTGTCTCTCTTTCTTTGACCCATGCCAGAAGGTGCCCACCTTTCCTTTTGTGAAGACATGTCGCTCTCCAGCCAATGCTAGAATGGAGGACATGGGTCTTGGGGCATCAAAGACAAAAGGGAGAGGGAGTGAGCTCAGCTCCAGGGATCCCGGCCTGCACCCAGGGGTGAATTGGGCCAGCCCCCCCTTGGTTGTTCTTCCCTCCTTTCGGGCAAGCTGCAGGTAGAGGGGCCTTTTGCTTCTACACAATGTTTAGTCGATAGAAGTGCTTGAAGAGTAAGGCTGACCTACAGGAATCAGGGATTCCTACATGTGTGGATGTCTTGGGATTGAGGCTCGTGTCATGGGAAAGGCTGGTCTGGATTCCCTTCATGCCAGGGCTGATGCTTTCTTAGCTCACTCAGATGGACACCAACCATCTACTAATTACAAATAAAAGCTTCAAGAATCGTTGTCCTTGGTTTCTGATGGTCTTAAAGCTCACAAAGTGATATGGATAGCCACAGGCTATGGAGGAGGAGGAGGAGGAGGAAGAGGAAGAGGAAGAGGAAGAGGAGGAGGTCACAATGCCTTGTGTGTGATCAATGGTGTGATCAAATGCCATTATCATTTGATCACACCATTGCAGAACACACCTCTGTTTTCCTCATGCAAGGATTTGGTCACAGTGTCGTACACTGGAACAGAAGCATCATTCAACAAGAACAACTTGGATTTTTTTTAAAGTAAACAGCCTAGTTCTTTCCAACTCAGCAGAATGTTAGGAAAGAATGACATGAAAGGCTTTGGACCACCCTGAGGATATTAAACAGAAGGTGACCAGTGTTGGTGGGGAGGAAGAAGTAGTAAAGGACAACTGAGTTTGAAAAGAGATAAATCAAACCAGGGGCTGAAGAAGAAATGATCCTGAAACACACACACACACACACACACACACACACACACACACACACACACCTCATCTCAATGGAAGAAGCAGTGTCTCAACTTTTTTGGCAATTGCTCCACTCTCAGCCCCTCCCATCCAGTCTTGTGACTTGGAATGGTCTAGCAGCCAAACCTGGGCCCATTGCGCAGACAGGCACACTAAACACAACCAATGTTGGGGTAGACATTGCTGCCACCAGATGGATTTGCAACTGGCTGACCAACTGCATACAGCATATGGTCCTCAATAGAGCTACATCTACATGAAGGAAAAGCATGGATTGGGATACCTCAAGGTTCTATTTTAAGGCCAGCACTCTTCAACATCTTCATACATGATCTAGAACAGGGGATAGAAAGGAACCGATCAAATTTGCAGATAACACCAAGCTGGGGGCAATTGATAACTCTTTAAAAGAAGGATTTTGACAGACTTAAACACTGAGTCCTATCCAAAAAAAATGCAATTCAGCAGTAAGAAAAGTAAGATCCTACGTAGAGGCAAGGAAAACCAAATACACAAGTATAGAACAGGTGGTACCTGACTCAACATTAGCAACTGTGAGAGGGATCTAGGAATCCTAGTGGACAATTACTGCAGTGTGCTGCAGTTGCCAAAATGCTAAGGCAGTCCTAAGTTTCAGCAACAGAGGACAGTTTTAAGATCACAAGGAGTGATATATATTGCACTGATGAGGCCATACTTGGAATACTGCATCCAATTCTGGTCACCATAATACAAAAAAGATGTTGAGACCATAGAAAGTAGACACCTCCCACACTGTCCCCACACAGCAGCCAAGGGATCCCAGGTTTGGAGCTTGGGGACAGAGAAGGGCTTGCACCACTCTATGACTGGAGGGATGCAAGTCAGGATTAGCCACACTTGTCAGAGGCTCTGGGCACTTTCTGTAAGAAAATCACCCAAGCTCTGTTAGGACTAAACATCATTTTTGGGGAGATGGGGTGAAGATGGGAAGAATTGAGAAAACCCATGGACAGAACTGACTAACATCAGTCACTGCAGATGAAAGAGGTCACCCAAGGCTGCAAAGATGTGAGGAACAATCAATAGAGAGATGAGGCAGAATGAAATGATGCTTGGTTGGACTCCCACTCACTTGCTGGAAACAGGGAATCCCCTTTCTCTTCTTCCCCTGAACCTTGGAAGCATAGAACATAAAATAACAGAGTTGGAAGGCATCTTGGAGGTCTTCTAGTCCAACCCTCTGTTCAAGCAGGAGACCCTAGACCATTTCAGATAAATGGTTGTCCAGTCTCTTTTTGAAAGCCTCCAGTGATGGAGCACCCACAACTTTGGAAGGCAATTTGTTCCATTGGTCTACTACCCTAACCGTTAGGAATTTGCTCCTTCATTGTAGGTTGCTTCTCTCCTTGGTTAGTTTCCATCCATTGTTTCTTGTTTTGCCTTCTGATGCTTTGGAGAATAGTTTGACCACCTCTTTTTTGTGGCAGCCTCTTAAATACTGGAACACTGCTATCATGTCTCCCCAGTCCTTTTCTTCATTAGACTAGCCATACCCAATTCCTGCAACCGTTCTTCATATGTTTTACCCTCCAGCCTCTAACCAACTTTGTTGCTCTTCTCTGCCCTCTTTCCAGAGTCTAAACAACTTTTTATGTGAATGATGCAGGATGAAAGGGCTGTAGGAAAACTGAGTCTTGTTGTGAAATAAGTTCTTCACTGTTACATACAAAAAAGTTGTTTTCTGTGCAAGATGAGCCACCTCTTCCTTTTTTGATCTGATTATTGCTTTTTTTAAAAGTTGCAATAATCTCACCCAGATAGGCATCTTGTAACAGTGTGAAAAAGATAAATAGCGTTATCTTTATTCAGTTTGCCCTCTGCACACTGGAAGCCATCAACAATTCTTGGTACATAACAAAAATAGCCTGGGAGGAAAGAAGTAAGTTTCCTCCTAAGTGATCAGGAAACTAATGATTTGGACAACATTTCTCTGCAGGGGCAGATTCTTAAAGCCCCCCTCCCCCCCTATGCATGCCCAGGAACCACAAAAATAAATTCTGAATGAAGAGGAGCAAGGTAAATAGCAAGCAGTCGTGATAAATGTTGTGTCCTGAGCCTGCAAGAGCTGAAAGCAGGCTCAGAATTATTGCAAATGGTCCCAGGCAATCCAAAAGCTGCCCAGGACCAGACAGGGTGGCGCCAGCCTTGTGCGCATGCACAAGGCGCGAAAATGGTCAATTCCTATTGGTTTACACTGTCTGGGTTTTAGGCACTATAAAAGGCCTGTGTGCCTTTTGCTGCTTACTTGGTTGTAGGAGAAAGTAATAAAGAGCTTGTTGTTTTCCACCATGTGTCTTCATCAATTGCCAACGAACCAAAAACACAACATTGGCAACGAAGGTGGGATCCCTGCAAGCAAGAAAAAGAATTAAGGACTCACCAAGGAAGTCTTGACGATTGGGAAGATGGCGTCCTGCATTCGTGACTCAGCCTGCCAGTACAGCATCGCTGGAGGTGAGCTCAGCAAAAGGACCCTTTCCTAACTCTTAGCTTGCAGAGGAGGCAATTAGCGAAGGCCATAAAGCTTACAATGTCAAAGATTGGCCGCTTGACTGATTTTGATGTCTCCCACCCAGAGAGATGGAATTCATGTGTAGCAAGAGTGGAGAACTACTTTAGAGTAAATCAAATCAGAGAAGACGGCCTGAAGGCAGCAACTCTTCTGTGTGCCTGTGGACAGGAAGCTTTTGAGATCGTGGAAAATTTGGTGGCCCCTGCACTTCTAGAGTCAGTAATGTATGCTTACTTGAAGAAGATGTTGAAGGAACATTTTCAGCCTAGGTTATCTGTCATTGCTTGGAGGCACGCGTTCGAGCAGAGAAACCAGAGGCCAGGCGAATCTGCTGTGGACTTTATTGCTGCTTTAAGACAAGCGGCCAGGCCTTGTGAGTTCAAGGATGTGGAAGAAAGGCTGCGCGATCACTTTGTGTGTGGTTTAAGAAGCAGAGACCTACAACAGAAGATTTTTGTGAAAGAAGAGGTCTCGTTCCAAGACGCATTGAGAGAGGTAGCAGCTGAGGAAGCAGCAGGCGGTGCTGTGAAGGCTTTGCGGCTCACCAGGAACCCTCCAGCTGCTGCTACTGTCCATTAAGAGGATGCTCCAGAAGATCAGAAGTGGATCCTGAAGAGGAGATGGACAGACTTCACCAGCCAGCTGAAAGAAGGCCAAAGGGGCATCCCGACAAGGCCCCAGCATCTCTTCAGTGCTTCAGGTGCGGAGGACGCCACAAGCGGGCTGACTGCAGATTTCGCTCCGCCATTTGCCGGGCATGTGGCAGGCAAGGCCACATTGCCTCCATTTGTTTGGGTCGCCAGAGGGTCCAATCTTGGGAAGAATTGCTTCAGAAAGGTACCAGGGCCCCCAGCCAACACAGGGTGGGTTTCTGCACATTGCACAGGAGTATTCTGAGGACAGGGACACACAAGCCCCTTAAGAAAAAACTTTGCTTTAACGTGAAGTTGCAAGGGGTTCCCTTATTGATGGAGTTGGACACAGGGTCCGCTCTGTCAATCATTTCACTTGACACCTTCAAAAGGATTTGCAACAGTAGCGGCCTTCGAGTTAAACTCAGGCCATCAAATACTCACTGATTTTCAAAATTCTAAAGTCAGTGTAAAGGGGGAGGCCACGCTCAAAGTGCAGCGTAAGGATTTTGAGGGTTTCCTAGATGTGGTGATTATTGGGGGTGAACGCACGAGTCTTATTGGGCTCGATTGGTTCAAGGCCCTGGGAATCCATGTGACTGGGCTGCACAACTTGCAAACGTTGGGTCTTGCAGAAGTCTGCAAGGAGTTTGCTGATGTGTTTAGTTCAGAGCTGGAATCCTACAAGGGGCCTCCCATTGCATTATGTTTAGACCCAACTATCATGCCCATCAGGATTAAGCCTAGAAGAGTGCCTTTTGCCCTCAAAAGCAAGATAGATGCAGAGCTGGTCAAATTGCTCCAGCAGGGCATCTTAGAACCTGTGGACTCTAGTCCATGGGAAACCCCAATAGTAACGCCTCTAAAGGCTAATGAGGAAGTCCGCATATGTGCAGACTATAAGTGCACACTGAATAAAGCATTGCAACAGCACACATATACAGTGCCTGTTGTAAGCCACATTCTGGCCTCCCTCAAAGGGGGGTGCATTTTTGCGAAACTTGATCTGGCACAGGCCTATCAATAGCTACCTGTTGATGAAGCATCTGCAGATGCCCAGACGATTGTAACACACGGGAACTTTTAAGGTCAAGAGACTGCAATTTGGGGTAAATGTAGCCCCTGGCATATTCCAAAGTGTCATGGAGCACACACTTTGTGGTATTCCTGGGGTCTGTTCTACTTCGATGACATCCTCATTGCTGGGGAGTCACCCCAAAATTTAGCAGAAAGGTTAAGGGCTGTCTTGCTTCGTTTCTGCAAAGCAGGCCTTAAACTGAAGTAGGATGAATGCAAGATAG